GCCGTACTGAATTATAATTGATGTACAAATAAACTACACATAAACTGTACAGTTTTGTAGATTGTGACATATGTCTATACCCATGAAACTTTCATCACAATCATTGTAGTGACATCTATCACCCATGAAAGCTTCCTTATGCCCCTTGTTAATATGAATAACAGTTTTATCAAGACATAATTCACATACCATACAATCCACGCATTGAAAGAGTACAGTCGGCCAGGCGCTCATGTCTGTAATCCCAGCACTTTGGGAGGCCGAGGTGGCCACATCGCTTGAGGTCAGGAGTTTGAGACCAGCCTGACCAACATGGCAAAACCCCATCTCTACTAGAAATACAAAATTAGCCATGCGTGATGCATGTGCCTGTAATCCCAGCTACTCAGGAGACTGAGGCTGGATAAGCGCTTGAACCCGGGAGGCAGAGGTTGCAGTGAACTGAGATTGAGCCATTGCATTCCAGCCTGGGCAACAGAGCAAGACTCCATCTCAAAAAAAAAAAAAAAAAAGAATGCAAATTCTTTGGCTTCAGCTTTGGATAGTCTGATTCATTACATCTGGGGCTGGGCCCAGGGATATGCATTTTAACCAGCAGTCCAGATCATTCTAAAGCAGGAGACCCAGGCCCTTTGGAAAACACTGGTCTAAGGGGGAAATCCCAGGTCTGCTGTCAGAGATGTGGGTTTGTGCCTGGCTCTGGCTGGGCCAATTGCTGAGCTCCATGAGCCCTGTGATCACCCGCCAATGGGGAGACTCGATCCGATTCCCCTTCAGGACGTCACGTACTGGGTAGGAGACTCCTGTGGCTTTCCCAGTGAGTGCCCCCCTCTATCGAGCTCTGAGGCCCGAGAGAACTAATTCCAAGAAGTCAAAATATTGAAAAACTTTCTTAGACGCAGATGAGTCTGAAACCACGTGGAATCCTCCAAATCACAGGAAGTGCTCACACCTGGCAGGCCTGCTGTTGGGAACTGTGAGGACATTAATCAAGTTCAGCCTCCATGTTGTCATTCCCTTCCTGCCAAGCAGGACGAAAGGGTGTATATTTTTCTTACAATAACTGTATGGGGTAGGTGTCATCCCATTTTATAAATAAACTGTAGTGCAGAGAGGTTAAGCCTGTTGCCTCAGGACACACAGGCGTGGGGGCCCAGCATGTGAACTTCATCTGTTTCCAGACCTAGCAGGTTGACTCTTCAGCCTGCCTTCCCTGAGCGACTCTCATCCCAGTGGGAGAGGGTGAGAGCCCCTGGGCTCCCTGGTCCTAGACAGGGTCCCAGCAGCCTGGCCCACTTTCAGCTAAAAGCCCCTGGTTGGGGTGGGGCTCAGCTGCCTTTGGCTGGGACTGAGCTGTCCTGCAAGCCTCTGGGCAGTCCAGCTGGAGGCCCCCAGCAGGGGCAAGCATTCTGAGACCACTGGAACAATATCCACCCTCCAGACTCGGCCCTGCTGGCGGCACAGTGGTGTCCCCCCAGGCTCCTGGGATAGCCCTGGCCATCCCTGACTCCCAGGACCCAGCTCTGGAATGAAGGTGTGGGCGAGGAGGCCTTCAGCCCACTTTCAGGGGAGCAGGCAAAGGAGGGCTCAGCACTGCGCTGGCCTGGAGTGAGCTGGGGAGATCCAGGTATCTCTGTGTAAGGGGCAGGCCTGTGGGTAAGGGAGCAGACGGGAAGGTAGGGAGAGGTTTGACCTGGCTGTCAGGGAGGGCTTCCTAGAGGAAGTGACAGTTAACCTGAGCTAAGCTAAGGGAGGTGGAGGTGGCTGCTCTGAGGCAGATTGCATCTGTGTGTGTGTGGCTGTGCGCTGCCCAGGAAGATGGAGAAGACTGAGTCTGCCCACCGGAGAGCTCTCTTCAGACTCTTCATGAATCCGGGGCCACTGTCGTGGCAGCTGTCCCACGACTCCCCTGACATGCTTCCAGATGAGTGTGCTGGGCCCCAGACCAAGCACTTCGCTCATCTCTTCAGCATCATGATGAATGTGCGCGCCACCTGCAGACTCTGCAGTCCCTTCTGAAAGAGGAAATGGAGACAGAGGTTTAATAGCTTGGCCACTCGGCTACGAGCGGCAGGCCTGGAGTCTGTGTCCATCCTGGTGCCTCTGAGTGGCCCCCTCGGCCCCTGTCCACAGCCCTCCCCGACAGAGGGGACCCCAGCATGGCCCTCTCCCAGGCTCCTCAGGGCAGGCAGCTCTGCTTCACTTGCCCAGCAGCCCTCTCCTTTGGACCACAGAGAAGAACCGAGGTTGTCCAGGCAACCGCCACCTCAAACTCTGAAGCTGGGGGTGGGGTGAGAAGTCCAGGGACAGCTTAAAGGGAAGCGGTGACCCAGGAGGAAGGGAGAGAAAAGCAGGCTGGCTTCCAGCTGGTCCATTCCAAGGAGCCACGTTATGACCCCCTCCCGACAACTCTCCCACTGAGGCCTCCGGGGTCCTTATCCCCGGCGGGGTCCGGATTCTGTTCCCCAGGAAGAAGGAAAGTTTCCCAAAGGCATGGGGAGAGAGGGGTAGCCTACACATCTGTGGGGCTAGGGCTGTGTAGAGCAGGCCATTACCATATGAAAGGAGGAGGCTTGAGCGGTGGTGGGAGGGGCCAAAGCTGTCACTTGGATACCAAAGGCAGCTGGGGATGGGGGAGGGAGCAGGGGCAGGGAGGCAGCGACGGAGGGCCCCAAACTGGGGGGGAGGGAGTAGGCTGCTGGGGCCACATCCTCCCCATTTAGGGCACACACCACTTCCTCCCACTTGCGACTCCTCTCTGGCCCGGGGGCACACTCACAGAGGTGGCAAGACGGTGCTGGAACTGGACTGCTTCAGGACCCTCTGGGTGACCTGCCACTGTGCCCCTTTAAGGACAAAGGAGTCGCCTAAGACTCCAAAGAACAGGAACTGTGGCGGGAACGGGGAGGTGGGGGGCTTGGGGAGGCACTTCTTGCTGTGTAGAGGCTGGATGAAGGGGCTGTCACTCCCAGGCAGGGAAGGGAGTTCAGGGAGTTCCAGGTCTGAGGTGTAACAATCTGCAGCTCAGCTCGCCTGCCCTCTGCTTCTGTGGCTGCTTCCAAGGAAATCGCAAGGCTTGCACGCTGCATGCCTCCTCTCCTCCCAAGCTCCTCCCTGGTCTTTGCTTTTTGGGGCCTCCTAATGTCCTCCCCACACTTCCGGTTTAGATCTCTGTCTGGCAGCATCAGCAACTCCCACTTCTTTTCCGGCAGGCCGTGGCTGCCTCCAGCATCTCCTGCTAGTTCACACTAGGCCTCGGGCTTTCCCTGGGGACGAGGGACCTTCAAACAGAAAATAGCCACTTTGGTAGGAGCCACTTGGCGGCCAGGTCTGTGCTGCGGCAGAGGCTTCCGTCCCTATTGAGTGGCTGTCTAGTGTTCTTGGGGCCCTCTGCGCTTTGTGTCTCTGCTGTTCTGGAAGAGAAGAATGGAACCTTCTCGCTCTTCTTGCCTCCCAGACAGCCTGTCCCTGGCTCAGAACCAATTGCGGTGGAAAGCGGAGGGAGGCAGGCCATGGGAACCACTCCTCTTGCCCTGCTGAGGGTGTCTGGGTGGAGGAGGGCCACCACGGACCCAGGCCGGGATGGCTGCTGTGGGGGAGGAGACCGCCGGGGCAGCAGTGACAGCCAAGAGTAGCGAGCGAGAGAGAAAAGACCAGTGTTTACTGGCTTGCGGGGAGGCAGCTATCACCAGGGCTACAAGACTCTGTGAAGAAACACGTGCACTTCCAAGTTTGTGGTAAAATGAAAGACACTTGGCAGCTGGGCAGGACTTTTGTGTTTTTTTTTTTTTTGAGGAGTCTCACTCTGTCGCCAGGCTGGAGTGCAGTGGCGCCATCTTGGCTCACTGCAACCTCCACCTCCCGGGTTCAAGCGATTCTCCTGCCTCAGCCTCCCAAGTAGCTGGGACTACAGGTGCATGCCACCCTGCCCAGCTAATTTTTTTTTTTTTTTGAGACAGAGTCTCACTCTGTTGGCCAGGCTGGAGTGCAATGGCACGATCTCGGCTCACTGCAAACTCTGCCTCCCAGGCTCAAGCAATTCTGCCTCAGCCTCCCGAGTAGCTGGGATTACAGGTATGTGCCACCACGCCTGGTTAATTTTTGTATTTTTAGTAGAGATAGGGTTTCACCATGTTGACCAGGCTGGTCTTGAACCCCTGAGCTCAAGTGATCTATCCGCCTTGGCCTCCCAAAGTGTTGGGATTAACAGGCGCGAGCCACCGTGCCTGGCCAGGACTTTCTTTCTGGTGACTGGGTCAGGGAGGGCCAGGGAGCTGGGAAGTGGCAGAGCGGGGACTCCGGGCAGCTTTGCCCAGGTTCTCTGCATTACTGTGAGTGGCACAGTTCTCCAAGCCCCAGCTGGATTTAAGGGCCTTCCTATAGGTCTAGAAAGCGCAGACTCGAGCGCAGACTCAAACAGTAGGAAGCCAGTAATCTAAAAAAGGCAGGCACAGGCTGTGCTGGTGGAGCCAGTGACAGCTAGAGCCCTGTGTGTCTCCAGGGCAGACCCGGCATTCCGGGGGTCAGACCCGGTGATTTCACCCGGGAGCTACAAGTAGAGACGATCTTTCTTCTTGAATTAGTTTCTGGCAGTTGCTCTAGTTTGGGGGTGGGATGGGGTGGAGAATGTTAGTGAAGTAAGAGAAACGAACATTAAGGGAAGTCGCAGGCTCTATAGCAAAGTTCCTGTTCACTGTACTGATTTATCTGGAAATACAAAGTTTGGGCTCTTGGCATAAACTCTGACTTTAGGGCTGATCCGTCGCTCTCTGGGTTTGGGTTCCTCTGAGAGAGAGAGAGAGAGAGAGAGAGAGAGAGAGAGAGAGACAGAGAGACAACGCCATCCCCAGCAGCAGCTGCTCAGTGCAGAATCTGGCTCCTGAAACTATGGAAATTAACCTTCGCATTGGGAGAAGCCTCTCCTCAAGAGCTTTGGGGGTGGATGGGGAGTATCCCTTCTACAGGAACCAGGAACAGGAATAAATCACAGCACCAACCAAGACTTCACAGGCAATTTATTATTTTTTTTTTTGAAAGGGCTGAGGGGGACTTTACAAGGGTCTGAAGCTGGTAACTAGAAAGAAAGCTAAATAAAATACAAAGCCAGTATGTTGTGGCAAAATTCCAGAAAACACACTGAAAAAAATCTTTACAGTTTGAAACTGCTTCACTTTATACATAATTACAAATTAATATACAGCATCTGGGTTTTAACCCGTCTGTTTTATTTAATATGATTTAGCACAGAAATGTCCATAGAACATTTGGAAACGAGCAATGAGAGCAGAGGTATCCGGTGTATCCCAACCAACCTCCTGCGGATCCCTGCGCCTCCCCTGCACACCTCACTCAGGCAGCAGCACACAGGTGACCACAGGCTAAGCCTGAACCGCAGGCAAACTCACCAGGCACGCCCCATGGCCAGGGCTCGGGGACTGCCCATGCCCTCAGGTGGTGAAGAAAGGCAGGGGAAAAGCTCAGGCCAGGGAAGGTGGGGGCGAGTGCTTCCTGCAGAAGCCCCCCTGGAGCGCAGCACAGGCGGTCCCACCAGCTTGTAGGGCAGGTCACCTACTTCGGTGGCAGGGGACAGTCAGTGGGGGGTCGCCCGCCTTTAACCCTTAGTGAGACAAAGAATTCATGGCCTATCAATCTTTTGACAATTAAATTAGATGAGTACTTGGAAAGATGCCTTTATTTTCCCTTCCTCCCCACCGCCCCCCTTTTATGGCAGCATTGAAACACTTTTCATTTTAAAGCCTGGCCAGCAGGTAGTAGATTCCAAGGCTCTGGTTAACTAGGAATGCTTTGCTACATTGAAAGGCAAGTTCAAAACCAAGCCCAAACTCCCTGCCCTCTTCTTTGTCTCTGAGGATGGACGAGAGCGACGGGGCTGGCTGGGACATATCCGTAGGTGGCTGCACACCTAGTTGGTCCTGTTGAAGGAAGGCAAGGCACACAGATCTCCAGCAGCCGCCGCCCCCATTTCATCCACAGGGTTATTTCTAGGCTCCCACATTCCAAGGACATCCAAACGCAGAGGGTGCACATCGTTCTGAAGTGTCTGGGGTCACCTCACAGCCACCCTCTTTGTGACCACTGAAGCCCAGTCACCAGGACTGTCTTTCTAAACCCCCTCCCAGGGCCTGGCTGTCCTCTGGGCACAGTTGGGGCACCCATCATTAGAGTAAACCTCAACTCCAATGCAAATACCAAAATCCCTGGGAAGAAAGACCTGGCTACAGAAAAAGAGCCCTAGAGACAAAAATGATGAACTAGAAAACACTTCTGTGGACAGCAACTTCTGGATCAAGTTCTGGCCTCTAAGGTTATGGTCCCACCCTCTACTAAGGCAGGGTCTATCTAGTTCAACCCTTGCACACACTAACACCTCCCTTCCCACATCAAGAAACAACGCCAAGGGTCTCCAAACTTTGTGCTCATGACTAATACTGAGGCCTCAGGAAGGTAACAAATATGGGAGAAAATGAGCAAAGGGGCGACTCTGAATAGAGTATTACCCTGAGACACAGAAGGGGAAAAAAGGTAAGATTCGTACCTTTCCAAAAAAACCTTGGTAAGGATTCTTTCCCCCAGATAGCTCTCACGGGGGTAGAGGGAGTACTGGCAAAGGCTGAAAGTGGCAGTTTGCACGTTTTTAACCCTCTCCATTTTCTAAAAAGAAAACAGTCGATACATTTGATTGTCTTGAAAATGAAGCCAACCGTGACAGCATTTAAAGTGCACATGTCACCCAACTGGAATGACGACTGAGATGACTGGAATTGAGAGAAGATGCAGTCTCTTTCCAGAAAGCTCACTCGATTCTGAAAATCTGGGGGCTCTGGATACGAACTCCATCTTTCCCCCAAAACTTAAGCACAATTTCAGGCACCTGATTTCTTCAGCTTGATGGAGAACATGGCATCCTGGTGTGGAAACAATATGGGGAATTCAGTCTGAGTCACCCCAGAAAACAACCCCTTCTCATGTGAGAGAAACCAAGACAGGCCATTAGATCCAGCAACTAGAACACTGTCAAGGCCATGTGCAAAAGCACAGGCAGCCACCATCCCAGGTAAACCCCCAGGACAGGAACAAATCCCCTTGAGGACAACTCCAAGGGGGAAGAGAGATGACGAAGGTATGTAAGCACAGGTCTTGGTAAGTGGTTCCCTTTCGGCACTGCAGACTGTATTCCTGGATGAAGTTGGGTGGCTTGGGGGAATTCTGGGCACTACCTTCTGATTTTAAACTTGTCCAACCAGAACCTGCTGAAATCGTTTTGAGTGAGGGAGGTCTGGGCAGATGTGAAATCTCCATTTTTAAAAAAGACCACCAAAACCACCAAAGCAGGTGAAACATCACAGCTAGGGGGGCAAGAGACACTCTAACATTGATGTCAACCTCTGTGGCAACATGCTCTAACTTCAGCATCCATGGTGTTTTTGTGAAGAGCATGTACGCGAGTAAATCCAATCAGCACCAACCTCTTATCGTTCCAAACCCAGACAACAGGGGCACCCAGCCTACATTTACAAAGAGAAGAATGCAGGTTCAGTACTGCCCTCCTGCGAATCCCAGTAGGGGAACTCGGAGCTAGTGACCAGAACAGATAGCCAAGCCCCGGGGTAGATCTCAGGACGATGATTCAGCTGTTAACTTGGAGTTGTATGGACTGGTGGAAGAAAGCAACTTAACTTTTTGTTTAGGGTCTTTGCAAGGGGACATGATATTTTCAATAGAAAAATCAGCAGGTTTTGGCCTTAAAGTCTGTTTCTGAAGGCTGGGTATTCTCCATGACAGAAAAAAGCAAAGGTAGCTCAGAGGTGGTGAGTTTCTTCATTCTCAAACAAGGGAGAAGATATCCTTTGATTAAAGAATGAGGCGGGGTGGGGGACGGAAGGACATGGACCCTTCCCTTTAAAATTTCATCTGGGCCTTCAAGGCACTTCAAAAGACACAGAGTGAGCGGTGCTGGCTGCCACTTCACTCAATATTGACTGGATAGTTTAGACTGTTGGGCTAGTCCTGGCTCACCCTTAAAAAAGAAAAACACAAACACACACACACACACAAAATAAATAAAACAAATCTAGGCTACAAATTTTAAACCAGACCTCTTTCAAATAAACTGAAAGATAAATATCTCCATCTGCAAGGCCAGCTTGCAATTCATCAATAAGCACCAAGTTACAGATTTTTCTTTTTTTAAGTGTGCTCAAAGCCCCTTGCTTCTGAGGGGCAAAAAAGCAAGAACTGAAGGCCACGTCGGAAGCACAAAATTTTCCAGGGCCTCCCTTCTGGTGTACGGGGCCTCAGAGGGCAACATTACCATGAACTGTCCTGCACACACCAGCTGGGGAAAGCCTCAAGTGAACACAGATCAAAACACGGCGGGAAAAGCAAAAGCAAAGCCGAGCAGCAGGCAGCATCTGTACCCTCTTTCAGGGGCAGAGCACAATTCAACAACAGACCTTCAGATACATTTTTGAAGAAATCCAATTTTGCCAAGGCCTCCTAACAAAAGAAGGGCGCTTTCACAACCACGCCCTCTGGGCCAGCTCCTCTCCAGACCCGCACTGGCAGGAACCGCCACACACGGCTTCACCCTTCGCCTGAACCCACCTCTCAGCCAGTTCTCCTAGCTTCAGAACACAGCTTCTGCCTGGCCCCTGGTGGTGGTGTGCCCATAGGGCGTGCCCTCACCCGCAAGGGCCAGGCAGCTGCTGTCTGGGAGAGGCACGACAGGGGCTCAGGAACACAGCCAGGAGGCCGTAGCCACTTCTGAGTGGTCAGTAACAACCAAAAAGTGTCACCCTGCAGGGATACTGGTGAGTGGGCCTCTTCACTTTATCCGTGCCCAAAACATGTGGGTAAACATCCCGGAAAACCAGGGTATTCCTTCTGGATCTGATGACAAAATGAGATACTATGGGTTGTTTTGTTGCTTTAGTGCCTGAAACACCGAGATCGAGGTGGTGCAGATCACGTCTTTTATACACATCAAGCCTTCTCTCACTGGTTTCACAAATGTTTGTCATCCCTAAAATGAAATGAGAAATACATGCAAAACATGGGTGATACGTGCACGGGATGGGTTTAGAGGGAAACCAGTCTCTGAGGATTACTGGGTGAAGTGCTGATATGCAGGAGCTCTGGGTCCATCCAGGCACTGCCCCTGTGCTGAGCTAAGGTGACCAGACATCTGGTACAGACTGGGCCGCCTTCTAGCATTCCCCATGTATATATGCAGACAGGTCCCCATGTATGGACACAGATCAAGTCCAAAACATCTTCTGTTTGGTTTCGTGTTCCCCCAAATAAAAGGCAGTCAGAGGTTCAGACCTTACTTGGATACACTCTTTCAGCCTTTAGGAATTCCTGACATGTCCAAAACCATCACCTGTACTTACGAGGCCACTACTTTCAGTGTAATCCTGAGTAGGGCCAGCCCAACCTGAGAGTCCTGGGCAGTCACAAATCATGGCCGAAGCAGAGTCTGGGCCTCCTTCCCCACCCTGATACTCAAGATCATCTGTTCCTTCTTGTCCAGGACCTGGGGCCGCCCAGGAGGACTGGACGCTGAGGAGCAGTGGGTGTCCAGTGTAAGAGACTTGTGCACGTGGGGACAGCAGGAGAGGTGGGCTGGCCAGGATCAGGAGGCAGCTGCCTCAGCAGAGAGGAAGAGGGTCAGCAGAAGATCTCTTCACCCTCTGCTGATACTTCTGATGTGGGACCATCTGGAAATGTGAAAACCAAGAATGAAAAAAATTCAGAAAAACTGTTCCTTTCATTGAACTTCCTCCCCAAACCAAAGTCTTCTGTAATGCAAATAGGTGACGGGGGCTTATGGGCAATTGACTGTCTGCACACTGGGGTTTCTGAACAAATTTGGTTAATAAGGTTATTGGTGATATCCTTCACTGTCTAATGCTCCCTTTAACTTTTAATAAGCACTAGAATTTATGAAGAGGCCTGGAAAATGTACATTTTTCTTTAACCTGCCCCACAGAAAGGAGAGATCAATCCTAAAGAGAAGGATTCAGGGGGAAAAGTGGCACATGAACGGGGAGGCATTTAGTAGAATTCAACCGCGGGCTCTGTGGCCGCTGGCACATTAGTTAGCCTCCGTGAGCTTCAGTTTCCTCACTTCCTTTGGGGTTAGCAGTGCCAACTTCATACAGCCATTTGAGAGTTAAATCACCAAATGCTAGCTGTTAGCAATGACTTCTCTAGGCCCAGAAAGGCAAGGAGGACTTGAATTACTTCACTGAGAGGTGAGCTGCAGTTCCTCAATTGGATAATGCCTTGAAAATGAAACCTATGCTTTCTGCTTTTGCACATGTGCCACACACAGTGGGTTCTTAATGTTTGTTGCATGAGCACTCTTAGTAAGCGGAGCTGGTGAGAAGGATAGCGGTTTGGCTTCTGAGCATCTGAACTGTACCCTTTTCAACCCTGCCCCATGCCACTAAAATCTACCCTCTCTCAGAATGCACAGACACCATGGCCACAGGGAGAGCAGGTGTGCGTGACTCACCACCGGGCTGAGAGCGGCTGGTTTTGTTCTTCTTTTTTTTCTCCTTCTTTTCCTTTGGCTTAGCTAACCCAAACAGGCGGGTAGAGGCAGAGGTGGACACAGGGGCCTGGCTCTGCCCTTCTGGTCCTTTGTTTGTGTGGTTGGTTGAACTCAGTATGTGAAAAGGCCCCTTATCTTTGTGTGTCCGAGAGATGCTGTTCCTTTTTGGGGACACTGAAAGGTCTGAGTCCAATGACCCTGATTTGGCTATCGAAGGTGCAGATGGCGAGGGGGGCTCCTCAGGACTGGGGAAGAACGATGGGATCCTCATCAGCTTGCTGTGTGGATGGGAAACCTGTACATATTCAAGAGAAGGGTTTCACTTGGAGGCTGTCAGCGTCCCTGATGCCTACTCAATAAATCCTGGCTGAATTCAACTGGGTGTGCTGGCTGGGTACTTACCCACCTCTGTAAACTCTACAGAGCTCACTTCTATGGATTGCATAGAGCTCAAAGGTTTCATTAGCTGCCCTCCCCCAAGTAGTATCTATAAACATGTTAAAAATACCGCCTTCAACACTGTTAATACTTTTACTACATACGCAAACACCGGCGTCATAAAAAACTGATAGTACCTTTGATGGGGTGATTTAGAAAAGAATTCCCATTTCCTGAAGAAAGAAGGAGAGCTGCTTAAGACTGCTCTGCACAGGGATGCAGGGAAGTATTTTAGGGCAAAGAGATTACAGACACCTGTTCAGGTTAGAGGGTAAGTGGAAAAGCCGAGCTTACACCAAGAATCCTACTCAAAGGTTAAACCAGAGATAAAGAGGATCATCTACTCTGGGTTCTCTTAGCTGCCTGGGAACCCTCCTTTGTCAAAGCACTGATGATTGTATTGGGGTGGGGTGGAATCCCTCCTTATGTCATAAAAGGCAACACACAGCATTGGCTGCTCCCCCTTGCCCAATATATTTGGCAACATCTGCCGAAAGCTACAACTGCCCCCTACTCTGGAAGATGTCAGTATAATTTTCTTTCATGGTCCAAGGTCAATCAGTCAAACAAACAGCAATATGATATGCATTTCAAAACACAGGCAGATCTGTGTACACCCAGGCTCTCCATCTGCCACAAGCATCCATACTTTGGAATAACCAAGCAACATCACTGAAATAAGCTCAGGAGTGAGTGTGCTGAATTACCAAAAGCTTTCCAATATAAGCAGCAGCTATAGAGAAAGAAAAGTTTCATCAGCAGTAGAGAGGCAAATCAGGAACTATGCAGAGTGCAGCTGTCTCAACATCCCCAAGCAAGAATATCATCTGTTCACAAGAGGAGTGGCCGCCTTCCCTAGTTGCTGGGATGGGCGTTTCCCTCTGTAACTGCCTCCCACCCATCCTGCCACATGGGTTCTTCCAGCAACTCTGGCCTGACAGCCATTTCCTGCTGTCTCAGGACCACAGGCACCACATGTTCTGGGGGATCTTTTATTCTTGCTGTGCTTCCCCATTAAGCTACAAGTTCCTTCAGGTCAGGACCATGCCTGACTTCTAATGTGACACAGAGCAGTGGGGTTGCTCCTAAAATCCTGGATGGCTGATGGCCATTTTCTCAGATACATGGAGGCTCCTCTAGCTGTTGCCAACTCTAAGTATCCATTACTGCCTGGCCAAAATGCCCCAGCACTTCCATTCTCTTCTTCAGTCTCCTAGAGATGCAAAAAGCAGAAAAAGACTTTCTCCCTCTGCCTCTCTTTCAGGGTAAAACAAAGATTCTGTTTGTTTTTTTGAGACAGAGTTGCTCAGGCTGGAGTGCAGTGGTGAGATCTCGGCTCACTGCAATCCCCACCTCCCAGGTTCAAGCCGATTCTCATGCCTCAGACTCCCAAGTAGCTGCGATTATAGGTGTCTGCCACCACACCCGGCTAATTTTTGTATTTTTAGTAGAGATGCGGTTTTGCCATGTTGACCAGGCTGGTCTCAAACTCCTGACCTCAACAGATCCGCCTGCCTTGGCCTCCCAAGGTGCTGGGATTACAGGCGTGAGCCACTGTGTCCAGCTACAAAGATTCTTAAAAACATTTTTTTTTTTTTTTTTTTAAAAGTAGAGACAGTCTCCCTCTGTTGCTCAGGCTGGTCAAGCTACCCTCTCACCTCAGCCTCCTAAAGTGCTGGGATCACAGGCATGAGCCACTGCATCTTGCCAAAAACAGGCTCTATATTTCTGCTCACTTTCTTACTATGCTTAGTACACAGGGGTTCTTAATATCATCGTTAGGTTGCTCTCGGCAGGGAGTGCCATTACCTGACACAGGTCCTGTTCTGTCTGCCTCTGGCTGAGCCGCTCTGCCTCCCGGCGCAGCTGCTCCTGTTCCCTCTCGAGCTGTTTCTGGGCAGCACGCAGTCGCTCCAGGTCATACTGGTATGTGCCCTTCTTCTGCTGGAGCTCCTCCCGCTCCTTTTCCAGGTCCTGCTGCCCCTGCTGCACCTTCTCCTCGCGCTGGGCCAGGAGGGCCTCCCGTTCCCGCAGCTCCCTCTCACGAGCTTCCCACTCGCGCTCACGCCTGCGCTTCTCCTCGAGGTACTGGGCCTGCTGCTTCTGCAGGTTGGCCAGGTCCTGGCGCTGCTTCTCCAGGCTGCGTTGCTTCTCCTGCTCAATGAGGGAGCTCGGACGGGACAAGGTGCGAGTGAGCGCCCTCTCGCTCAGCACCAGTTTCTGGTCCTCAATGTAGCTGTCCTGCTGCAGCACCACACCCTGAGGAGGCACACGAAGGAGAGCCCTGCAACTCTGGCCAGGATGACAGCCAACTTCTGGATCCCTCCTGACCCCACAGCAGGGGGCACCAGGCACTATGATGGACTAGAACTCTCCCCTCATTTTTCAAGCCCATCTAATAAAAATGCTCCAGGATAATTGCAGGCATTTATCACACAAGAACCTCAAAGGTGCACGAACTCACAGGTTTTTGTCAAATCTGGTCACATGCTGTTTGCGGTCACTGGTATTACCTGGGGTACTGTGTGTGTGTGTGTGTTGGAAGTGGGAGAAAGGAATGAGATAGGGCAGATCTTCAAGAAAGGAAGTGAGCAGAATTTGAGGATGTTCCTGGGAAGTCCGAAACGGAAGCTGTATTAGGAAGGCCACTCTCTTCAAATGTACAGAGATATGGGATATAGAAACTTTTATAATCATACTTAAGGCTTTCTAAAGTGAAATAATCTCCCAAGTGCATGTTAGCATGCTATGTGATTTGTAGCATGGTTATCAAGCCATGCCTACAGCACACCAGCTCTTCACTAATTCTAGTCCTGGAAGGTCGATGATACTCTACCCACAGCATTCTGTAACTTTCTCACCACGAGAGCCAGTCTTCCCTAGACTGAGGGCCCCATTTACCCATAAACAGCCTACAAACCTCAAAGATCCAAGTCAACAACAGCCCCAAGCTGCTGTTCTTTAGACAAATAAATGCAGGGACGGAAGATGAAGGCACGCACCTGCAGAGTGCTGAGGAGCTCGTGGAGATGAACAATGCTCTGGACAACCTGCTGCCAAAGGAACAAAATGGAAACATTTGTTTCAGGGCTTTATGAATCTCAGAATCCATCACACTAATGTTTACCTGATAAGATGGCTTCTTTAAGATACAACTAAATGCTTGTATCTTTATGAAATATTTTCAAATTGAAAGCACCAAAGAAAGTAAGTGAGCACCAGCAGCCAAGAAAAACAAAAGAAGACCAAAGTGACCTGTGTGTAGGAGGAGTATCAGCACAAGTTAAAATGTATTAGAAAGCTTCCAATACTTAAAATGACTAGAATAAAAACAGCATACATCAGTGCAACAGAACAGAAATTTCAGAAACTTCCCATAACAATTTAGCATATAAGTAGCATTTCAAATCAATGGAAAGAAAAGAATATTCAATTAATTGTTCTGAGAAAATGGCTATATTTCTGAAAAAAATTGAGTTGAGACCTTAGCTCACATTAAAAAAAAAAAGGTTCAAATATCTGAAAATGTCAAAGGTGAAAAATAAACCATATTTATGTCCAGCCAGGGCAAGACAGCGAGATCCTATTTCAAAAAGAAAAAAAAAAAAGAGCTGGAAGGAACTAGAAGGTTTTCTAATCTTAAAACAGGGAAGGCTTTGCAAACACAGAAGTAATGGAAGAAACCACATGATTTTTTTCAAAAATTTCTATGTAAAAATGTAAAATTAAAATTAAAAGGCAAAGGACTAATAGAAATTCAAATGGAAAAATCTTTGATTTAAAAAAGGCTCTCATAGAACATTATGACAAAAAAAATACCCTAGTAGAAAAATAGGCCAGGAACACAAACCAGCAATTTGCAGAAGAAATATAAATGGCCAATAGCATTTATATGTCATATTAAAAATGACTCAACCTTATTTGAAATCAAATAAATGCAAAATAAAATAAATGACCCAAACTTATCAAACGAACAAAAACTTAGTAAGAATAATACTCAATGTTGGTAAAAGATGAAAATGGGCACTTGTATGTCTAATGGGTAGTGCCAAGCACTGCAAAACCTTCGTTCAATAGCATTTTGGCATATCTGGGAAATAATCAGAGAGCTGTGCAAAAAACAATGTATGTACAAAGATTTCTTAGCTCACTGCTTTAAAAGCAAAACGTAGAAAAACAGTTAACTATCAGAAGGATTAAGAAAATTATGGTACACAATAATATGAAGCTGTTCAACAGCATGCTTTGTAAAAATATGCCTTGGGGAAATGCTTTTAATGCATATTAAGAGGAAAAAAAAGCAAGATATGAAGCTCTAGGAAGTATTGATACAAATTATGTAAAACTTTTTATACTATTCATACATATACAACTCGGATATGTTATGTAGAAGGCTGGAAATATAAACACCAAACATTTAACAGTAGCTATTTTCCAGTGGTGGGATGTTTATTATTAAGTAACTTATGTTACTTACCTACCATGAACATGTATTCCTCTTACAATACTTAAGTCATTTAAAAACAAAACACAAAAATCTTAATTACCAGGCTTAGCTCTTCTGAGAAAATTTTTTACCCCTTATTTTCTTTATTTTTATTTTTTGAGACGGAGACGGAGTTTCACTCTCGTCCAGGCAGGAGTGCAGTGGTGCAATCTCGGCCCACTGCAATCTCCGCCTCCCAGGCTCAAGTGATTCTCCTGCCTCTGCCTCCTGAGTAGCTGGGATTACAGGCGCCCATCACCACGCCTGGCTAATTTTTTGTATTTTTAGTAGAGACAGGGTTTCACCATGTTAGCCAGGCTAGTCTTGAACTCCTGACCTCAAGTGATCCACCCGCCTCGGTCTCCCAAAGTGTTAGGACTACAGGAGTGAGCCACCAAGACTGGCCCCCCTTATTTTATCCTTAATAAGCAGAGAGAAGTAACTGAAGAACCTGCCGACTCTAGCTAAGCATTTATAGTGTCTAATCCATACTGGAATGTCTGAAAAACAAATGGGTCTTCTACTATTTCTTACCCTGATTCTTCTAACTAAATATAGGGGGGAAATTTTGCCATAAAGCAAAATCAAGGCCAGGAGCAATGACTCATGCCTGTAACCCCAGCACTTTGGGAGGCTGAGGCGGGCAGATAAACTGAGGTCAGGAGTTCGAGACCAGCCTGGGCAACATGGTGAAACCCCGTCTCTACTAAAAATACAAAAAAATCAGCCTGGTGCGGTAGTGCGGGCCTGTAGTCCCAGCTACTCTGGAGGCCGAGGCAGGAGAATTGCTTGAACCTGGGAGGCGGAGGCTGCAGTGAGCTAATTTTCAAGCAGCAGATCCAGAGAGCAAGTAGCTTCCATAAGCTCAAGTTTGTCATTTAAAGATAAGCACACTGAAGGATTCCTTCAGGACTCCACTGTATTTAGACTTCTGTGGCAACAAATATAAAACAATATCCTTCTGTATTTTAGGTGGAAAATGGAAAGATTCCCCTTAAAATTTCAAAATAAAGTTCCTTGGAGACTTAATGTACGTTAAAAGCAAGCACAAGAAAAAGAAGAAACACAATCAAAATGCTTGAGAAGTATACTCTAAAAAGCAACTATCATGTATCTGCTTCTAGTCTGCTTACAAAGTCAAATACTCAGAATTAATTTCGGAGATGGCAGTAATCTGAAGATTATGTCACAACGAGTCGGGGGGGCGGTGCACGCGGGATGGGCATCCTTCCAGAAGGACACCAAGGCTGCTTCACAGATAAGACACATATTAAGTCTAAAGCAATACTCAGAGAAGATATGGCTGGGCGTGGTGGCTCAGGCCTGTAATCCCAGCACTTTGGGAGGCCCAGGTGGGCAGACTGCC